TTAGATCACAGCCTGGCCTGCCTTCTGCCTTTCCTGACTTGATTTTGCTTTCAGTCCATATTCCAGTCACACTTAACTTACTGAGCCCATTCACACCATTTTGTACACTGCAAAGCTACCTGTCTGTCACTTTCCCTCATCACTTCCGCATCTCTACTCTACTCTCAAAGACTTTTTTTTCTTATAAGTCTGTCGAAGTGTCACCTTCTGTAAGTCTTTTCTGGCCTCTTTCTCCTCTCTAACTCTTGGGTTCTCGGTCTTCAGTGTTCTCATCCCACTTCGTGCAGACTCCTCTTAGCATCTCTCTCTCTAATTCTGTTGTAATTATAGATTTTGTGTATTTTTGTTCCTTGATAATCTCAGAGCTGCTCATGGCCGAGGACCTGCCATGCCAGCTCTAGGGTAGAGTAATAACTTAGTTAATGATTATTGGATGAATGAACCATATAGATGACACAGCTTCATAGGGGAGAAGCCATCGGGCACTAAAGGAATTTTAGGGAGAGATCATAAATGAAGCCTCTGTTTCTGGGAGTTACTCTGGACTTTATCATTGCATTTCTATCTTCCAAAAAACTTCATTGAAGCATAATATATAGAGTAACACAGAAAAGTGAGCATATCATAGATACGCAGTTTGATAGATTTTTACAGGCTGCACACCCAGATAAAGAAACACAGTATGGCGAGTATCCCAGTAAGCACCCCCACATGCTCCTTCCTGTCAATATTCTCCTCTCCCACTACCAAGGTTAACCATTGTTCTTACTGCTGATCTTATCTATTAGTTTGATTTGATGTTGAACTTAATATAAAAGGAATAATTCAATATGTACTCTTTGTGTTCCTTTTGCTCAACATTTTGTCTGTGAGAGTCATCCATTGTTGCTAGTGGTTGTAGATCTTTCGTTCTCATTGCTGTATAGTATTTCATTTTGTGACCATACCACAATTTATTTGTCCTGACGTTGATGTGCATTTGAGAGGCTTCAGTTTGGGGCCATAATGAGTAGTGATATTATGAATATTCTTGTACATGTCTTTTGGTGAACATAAGTATGCATTCCTGTTGGAGTTACTGACTCATAGCCTATGGAGTGCTCAACATTAAGTGATACTACTAACAGTTTGTCCAAAGTGGTTGTACCAGTTTATATTTCCCACAGCATACATGAGAGTTCTGGTTGTTCCACATCCTTGCCGACACTTGGTATTTCCTTCTTTTTAGCCATTTTTTCATGCTTTTAGTAATGTCTCATTGTGGTTTTCACCATTTCTTTTAAAAATAGTTTTGCAACTTAAGTTCGAGTATTTTTTATCTTAGAATTTTTTTTTTTTTTTTTAGGCGAGACAACCTTTGGTTGACCTCACAGATTGCAAGGACTTTGTCAGCTTACGATCCCTTATTTTTTTATTTTTCTTTCCAGCTACAGCACCTGGTCTTCCTAGGTGGTCTCCCATCCAAGTACTAACCAGGCCCGACCCTGCTTAGCTTCCGAGATCAGACGGGATCAGGCTTGTTCAGGGTAGCAGCATGGCTGTAGATTATCTTAGAATTTTTTAAAATCTAGTTGTTTAAAGTATATTTGAAATTCTTGAGTAGAAGAGAGGGATAAGGAGACTAAAAATGGATACGTATTCAATTATTAACCTGTCTGGTCACATTGTCTTTGCTTGAAATGTTAGGTGTATTTAGCTTTGAAAAGAATACAAATAAATAAGAGAGGCACAAACTTAGAGACTTTCACCTAATGAATAAAGCCAACACTACATGCACCATTTCTAAGAATAAATTGAACTCGACATTAATAGACATATTAAAGTAACTTAACAGATATAACGTTGTTCTTGCTACCTATAAACTTTTCACTAATTTGTGATTAATTTCCTGATTTTTTTTTGTTAAAAATGTCTAAATTTTTGAATCTTCTTGAGTAAAATATCTATGATATAGGGAAAACGTTCATAGTTATTTATAATTTGAGTCCATATTGTAAGAGTCTGCTGTTCTTCCTCTTTTGAATATAAGAATGCCCCTGCCCCCTTTTTAGGACAGAGAGAGTTTCTCCATCCAAATCTTCCTTTGGGGTCAGTGCAGGTGAGGACAGTGGCATTGCCATTGCATTTACATATACCTCTAAGACATAGGACAAGGACCAATCCATCTCTTTGCTCATCTTCTAACCTAGTGTCGCTTTGGAGCAGTGGAAAGAATGAAAGGGGTTGGGTAGAATTCTGGGATTGATGTGAGTTTGAGTCCTGGCTATGTCATTTACTACCCAAGATCTTAGGAAAAAATCACTAACGTTTTGAGCTTTAATTTCCTCAACTGTAAAATAGGAAAAGAAGAGCCACCTTGCAAGGCTCTTTTGGTGGTGGGGGACCACGAGAGAATGCAGACTAAATGCCTAGTAGAGAAGATTTGTTTAAATTAATAAAATTTTGTGTTTTAAATTATAAGTGATGTTAGTGTTCTATCAGATGCTCCTTTGATTATAAGCTGCTTGCATTTTCCTTCTAGGGTCGACGGCTTTGGCCTGGGTATTTTATTTCAATCCAAGCAGATAAAACGCATGCTTTCTTCATATGTGGGAGAAAATGCAGAGTTTGAACGTCTGTACTTATCTGGTGAATTAGAATTAGAGCTGATACCTCAAGTAAGAACATTTCTCTGCTTTTCTTTTACAATACTCATTTATTTTAAAATTTATCGGTTTTTTTTCCCCGTAGAAATTTCTTTGTGCAAGAGAGGTAAGGCAGAGAGGATGCTATGTTGTCAAACCAAGGAAATTTGTTTGTGGGTCACACCTATGGAAGTGTAATATTTTCTGTTGCTATGCACTGAAAAAGGAAGTATTTCTAATAAAAATATCTAGGCTACGGGATAAATTTTTAAGTTTCACATTATAATGTGTATTACACTGGAAGCACGCAAAAGGGCTTGCTGAAATGTTTCTGGATTGTCCTAAAACTCAATTCCTATGAATCTTAGAATTAGAAATCTGTGATAAATCTGGTTTTGCTGAGACATATGAGGAAAGTGAAGCCATCGGAGAGTAAAACCAGTTCCATCGTAGAGTACGTGCTGGGATCAGAGCTCAGGTGTCCCGGGAAATGGTGTCACTAACAAAGCAAGCAATTACTGACATTAATCGAGCAAGTTTCCACTTATTTTCTCCCCCATCTCCTAACTGACTGAAGAGTTTCTCATAGAGAAATGCAGACTTTTTGAAGGCATTTGTGTAAAACAAGGGTCTATGGGATGTGTGTGTTGGTCTTGACAGGCTTAAAGCCAAGCCCACTACTCTGCTTTATTTTCGTGAACAGAAAATATTATCACTACTGACTTCACGAAATTGGCAATAATGTATTGTAGCAGAATTTCATACAGATTCTTCAGTATTTAAATCACAGCATATGCTTGTCTAGAGAGAACACGTGTGGAGGACCTGTTCTTTCTACATGAGGTTTATAGCGTCTTCTATAGTCACACCTGATCACTCTACAGCGTTGGCACCTGTGCTATCACAGCACTGTTCTGTGCTTTGTATTTATTCAGTCTTCATTTAAAGTTTGTTTGTTTGTTTGTTTGGAAAAAGGTGTTAGTCTGCTTGTGCTGCTTTAACAAAATTCCACAGACTGGGTAGCTTAAACAATAGAAATTTGTTTCTTATTGTTCTGGGATCTGGGAAGTGCAAGATCAGGTGTCAGGCTGATTTGGTTTTTGGTGGTGGCGGGTGGCGGTGGGAAGAGAGGTGGCGGGAGAGAGAGTGGGAGCACGCAGGCTGCATGCACATGCAAAAGAGTACTCTGGGTCTCTTTTCATGAGAACACTGATCCTATTGGATCAGAGCCCTACCATTATGCTCTCATTTAAGCTGAATGACTTCCATACCTAATCCTTCAATTTTGGGAGCTATCGAAAATTAACCTTTTAAATCTTTGCATTACTCCTTGTTTGTCAGAGGGCATATATATGGGAGAGGAACTTCCTTAATATTTCTTTTATATTCTGTTTTTAAGCTGAAAGAGGTTAGTGAGTCCCTCCACAGCTTAGTGGCACATAAATGAACATTGGCACTGGCAACTTGTTTTACATCCTGAGAGCCAGGAAGAAGTGTCCATGAAGTGCTGGGGATTAGGACTCCCCTTGGTGGTACCTGCAGAGGTCCTGTCTGCAGAAATATTCTATTTTCAGGCCCTTGCCCAGTCAGACACCCAGAAGGAGTGAAGTATTCAGGGTGGGTGGACATAAAAACACGTTAAATTAGGGGTGTTCTTATGGTTGTTTGATGGTTGAATTTTTGTGAGCGTTGTTAAAATACCCACAATACATCTCTGTTTGTTGGATAGAGTAGAAAAGTAGTTTTTTGGAAGGTTTTCAGTTATGCCACAAGTCTCTTCTTCCCCAGGATATCTTGTGTACTTGAATTACTCAATGTTTGAAATGCCAACGATTAGTCCCTTCTTTGAGTTTAGTGTTTAAAGACCCCCATTAAAGTAGAGAATTGTTTTTAGACCAGGATAATATGAATGCACTGCCATTAATACCTGACCCAATTCTTATTATTGATTAGCCACTCAGTTATCTAGACCATGACCATGATGTAGCTAGACCATAACAATAGGTTTCAGTGTTAGGGAGGATGTCAGGGAACATTCAGGGCCAGAATTATGGGCAAACTGGGTGGAAAGGCAGCTGGGAGTGGGAGAGAGCTAGGGAAATTAGGTTTAAAATGACTGGTATCTATGAGGGGGATGGAGATGGTCAATAGAAGAAACAAAGAAAATTTGTTCAGAGCTGTTTCTACTTTGAAATAAAATTTGAAGTACTCCTGGCGTTTAAAAACCGATTTACCTATATGTTGTATTCTTTGCCTAACTTTGGATTTTTTCTTACTTAGATAATATAGTAGATAAAATATTTGTGAGAATGGTTTAGAATAAATTCTAAATAAATTTGAACATTTTTCATTATTGTTATAAAATAATCACTTGTTACTAATGATAGGATTCAGGACATACATGTAGCACATAGTAAAACACAAAATTTAATGTTTTTTTTCATTTATATAGTTGAAGTTACATACTTCAGATTTGAAAATTGATTCAAAAATATTACAAATAGACTGATGTAGAATGTGATGTCGAGAAACCAGTGAGAGACGTGGAAGCTAAAAACATGATTATATAAATAAGCAGTTACATTTTAAATGTGAGTTAAGAAGAGAGAGGTTGTTATCTAGAGAGGCAGTAATTTTTTTAAATTAATCATAGCATTCACTGTTAGCGAAACACACCAAAATACATGCTTGGTACTGTTTAGAATGAGAAACCTCTAGAGAGTAGGAACTGTATCTGTAAATGTTTTTGTGTTTGCATATAGAAGTGTGCTTACTTAACTTTTTATGGAGTGTTGCTCGCTCACTTATAGGGCACACTTGCAGAGAGGATTCGTGCAGGTGGGGCTGGAGTTCCTGCGTTTTACACCAGCACAGGGTATGGGACCTTGGTGCAAGAAGGAGGGATACCGATCAAATACAACAAAGATGGCAGCATTGCCATTGCCAGTGAGCCAAAAGAGGTAAGAAGCTCTCTCATCCAGGTAACACCAGGACACCTCTTCCAGCATGGGATTCCAGATGGGTTCATTGAGTAAAGAGGTGTAAAATCACCTCTCTGTAAGAAGAAACATTGTCATTCATTAACATAAATATTAGGTAAAATTTCAGGCTAAAGCTGAGTATCTACTAGTAATTAAAATCACATAGAGAAACCAGAATAAATAAATGAAAAGAAAAGAACCTGTAAATCATATAAGATGTGTGAGTCAGGATTAGTTATCAAACTAATTTTATGGGTAGATTTTAACATTAGGAGCCTTTATAATTGCTGATTTAGCTTACCTGGAAAATAGAGTAAATCTCTGATATGTATGATATTAAACTTCATGCTCAGGCCTCGCCTGGATGTGATTGAAGGAAGGAAAGAAGTCAAGGAAATCACAAGTTTGTCTATAATCTTAAAAAGCAGGGGACAGTTATAATTACATAGCAGGAAAAAAAGAGTATTCGTTATCTCCTCACATTATTCTTAATTTTGTATACTGGACACACTTGAGCTTTAGACCGAGTTTTATTTTAAGTGCTGGATAGGATGAGGTACCTTTATGCTAGTTAACTTCATTCACATATTAGAAGAGAATAGAACTTTAAATATAGGTATCTGAGATACTCAGCTTGGAGCCAGTTTTTAAAATTACACAGGCCAGTATTTCATTACTGTGTTTTTAGAATCTTTCCCTTCTCTCTGTCCACATGGCTCACGAAAGTTAACACAGGTTGCAGAAGCGCTGAGCTTATCTCTAGGGAAGTGAAAACTTAGAATCAAGGGATGATCTCTTATCACCTTTCTACTTATAGACACGTTAGCTCTGTATCTCCACGTTTTGAGGGGACAAAAGATGATTGAACGTGAGGTGTTGTTCAGTGTTGTCTTGAGCAGTGTCCTCCATCTGGGGCTTTGCGTTTTTGCTTAAGGTGAACTATATTGACTGAAAGCTTTTATTAACATTTATTATATTCTATCTTGCTTCTTTCTTTACTGCCTAATTAGGTTTAAAAAGTTTTTGACAAAGTAAAAGACAGGAGTCTAATTACTAAAATAAATCTAAGCAATATAAAGATGCCCAGAAAAATTGGGCTAATACTTCGAGAGTTTGCTAGAAGTTAAAGCATTACTTCTCCTGGGAAAACATAGGATAGACTAGAATCTGTCTTGAATATCTGGGTTCATTTCTGCCTGGAGTCAGGTACATGAATCTAGTAGTTTTGTAATTTTGTCTGAATCCCCTAAGAATAGACAAATAATATCCTGAAACAATTCTTATTAGCTCTTTATTTCTCTTGCTTATCGTAG